TTCACAACACATTCATTTCACTCAGAGACACATATCAAACTGCTCTTCTGTTGCTCTTCTGTCCGCCTGCTGCTCTTCTTCTGGGGTTTGTGTGTAAGTTAGTTAAAATAAAATGAAAGCTCATGTCTCCACCTACTGGATAACTTGATGTGATGTGGAGTGTGTACTCCTGTAATTTTGTCGCACTCCCATGATGCCGTTCATTCATTCATTCATTCATTCATGTATAGGCTATATGTGTTTTTTATTTATTTAACGAGTAGTTGCCATTTACAGCTGCTTATAATTAAGTACTGTCTGCTATTGGTATTGATTTTGTAATTATTATTATTATTACATTTATTTTTAATTAACATGTCACATGGACAATGTGACACTAAATACTGATTCTTTGCTTATTGTTAAAGTTAAAAAAAAAAGTTTATTAACATTCAATATTTGCTAGAAACTCATACATTATCATAAATCCATTATTCTTCCTTTACAGGTTTATGTTTGAAAAAAGGAAAGAATAAAACCCACATGATTATATAATCTCCCATTTAGTGTTTCTCTTCATTGGTATCTACTTTAACTTTCTGTCAAATTTTGCTCATCAATATGAAATTTCTACAGTTCATGTCGGTCAAGCAAGGTCAATTTATTCATGTATTAGAAACTTTGTATAGCCTATAGTGTTTCTAGAGATAGTGTTCATTAATTTTATTTTAAACTAACTTATTTTAATATTTATACAGAAATCATCAGCATTTAATAAATCTAAATTTTTTTTTTCAATATTATTTTTTATATATTATATTTATTGAGGTATTTTTGGATTTTCAGACACACACAAAACAACAATCACAAAACAAGACAAAACACACCTACACAGGTATGAGATTAACCTCAAGCTAAGGTAGAGGCAAGGGAGGTCAAAACAGACTTTTGCTCAATGTGACATTATGGACAAGTTCAAATAATAATAACAATAGAATAAAAATAATAAATAATCACCTATTTTAGCTTTAAACCAAGGGAGATAGGGAAAGTGCCACTAAAAATAGAGAGCAGATAGATTGTCGCTAGCTTTGACAAGTAATTGAGAGAGAGAGAACAAAAAAATCATAGAAAGATTAAAATATTCAAATGTGGTATTTAAGAAAATAAACACACACACACACACACACACACACACACACACACAACACACACACACACACACATGGGCGTATTAACATTGACACAGAAATGAAACTAAATTACAATTACAAAGTTTCAAGTGGTGTCATGGTCATTGGAAATTTTTAACAGGTGATTCAAGAGAGGCCTCCAAGAAGCTTCAAATAGGTCTATTTTTCCAGACATACTATATCTAAGCCTTTCTACATGAAGGGTGGAAGAAAGTTCAGACGACCAGATCTTGAATAGTGGCCTCGACTTTTTCTTCCAAATGCAAAGAATGGATACTATCATACTGTATAGGCACTCGGAAAGCGTGGTTAAGATGCTGCAAGGAGGCTGACCAGCCATGAACAGCAGTTGCAGGATCTAAAGCAGGGGTGCCCAAACTCGGTCCTGGAGGGCCGGTGTCCTGCAAAGTTTAGCTCCAACTTGCCTCAACACACCTGCTGGTAAGTTTCTAGTATGCCTATAAGAGCTTGATTAGCTGGTTCAGGTGTGTTTAATTGGGGTTGGAGCTAAACTCTGCAGGACACCGGCCCTCCAGGACCGAGTTTGGGCACCCCTGATCTAAAGGAAGCTCACATGCATAAGCTTCTAAATGAAATTGAAAAACTTCTGACCAGAATTCACCAAGTTTAGGGCATGCCCAGAAAAGATGACCAAGAGAACCCTCCGCAGATTCACACTTATTGCAGAGAGAGGAAATAGTAGGAAAGAAAGCATTAAGTTTAACCCTTGAGTAATGCAATCTATATGCAACACCTTGTACTGAATAAGTTGATGCCTGGCGTTAATAGAACAGGTGTATATATTTTTAAGACGTTTTGCCCAGTCTTCCTCAGAAACATGAATATCCAGTTCCTTTTCCCAATCGTTTTTCAGACGATTAGTAGAGATGTCTAACTGACTAGTGAAAAAAATCTACTAATTTTGTGACTAACTTTGGGGTATTGGGAACGCAAGTATAAGTAGTTTATGCAACTCATTATCAGCTGAAAGTGTTTCAAAGTTTGGTGATATAATGGAACGAATATCATTTCTAATTTGTAGGTATCTAAAGAAGTGTGAAGCAGGAAGGTCATATTTCTCTTTTAGTTGAGAAAATGTTGCAAAATTGTTGTCTATGTATAAATCTCTCAAGGTGAGGATTCCTTTTCTAGCCCAACCTATGAACACTGGGTCTAGTAGTGAGGGCTTAAAGGCAAGGTTACGACAGACAGGAGCAAAAAAGGAGGTACTTGGCAGTTTGAATGTCTTACTGATCTGACGCCATCTCCTGAGGGAGTTATTGATCATAAAGTGAGATCTTACTGCAGCTTTAGATTTCTCTGGGGCAGCAAATAGCAATGAGGAGAGAGATGTGTTTGAAGCACCCCTCTCAATCATAAACCATGAAGGGAGATCAGCTGAAAGACTATCAGGGCATGGGTCCTGCCAAAAGGTTAAGGCTCTATAATTGGCAGCCCAATAATAGTGTTGAAAATTTGGCAAACCCAACCCCCCCAATAACCTAGGCTTACAAACATGCAGTTTAGATATTCTATGTGCTTTAAAGCCCCAGATGAACAGCAGTACAATAGAATCTAAAGTTTTGAAGAACTTTTTGGGCAAATAAATTGGTAAATTCTGAAAAAGATACAAGAACCTGGGTAATATCACCATCTTAATGGCATTCACACGCCCCATCATTGAAAGTGGCAGGGTCCTCCAGTATTTTATATTGCTTTTCAAATTTTCTAACATAGGTAAAAAATTAAGTTTATATATATCCTTAGGGTCTCTAGATATATTAACTCCAAGGAATTTCAAACAATTTGTGGCTATTTTAAAAGGAAGACTACGCATAAAATTTAAGTCAATATTGTTAGTGACCGCCAAAAATGCACTTTTTTGCCAGTTTACTGAATAACCTGAGAGTTTACCGAATGTTTCCAATAAATTTAGCAAGGGTGGTATAGACTGTTCTGGGTTGCGAAGATATCGAATAATGTCGTCTGCATAGAGAGAAATATGAGGATTGATTCTGCCTAAATTTGGGAGCAATATTAAAGTGTTACATAGTAACTAGATGTGTACGTAGTATGTAACCACAGTGTAAGTACACATTGGTACATAGTATCTACAGCTGTAATATTTCTGTAACTACACACATGTAACAACCCTCCGAATGGTTTGTGTAAGTACAAATGTGTAACAGGACATATATAACTACATTTTGTAACAACAATATGTATAAGAGTAATTGGAACAATTTGATCCATGGGGTGGAGATGGGTAGGTTTAGGGGTGAAAATGGGATTTAGGGAGTGGAGATGGGTAGGTTTAGGGATATGTAAAGTGGGAGGAGTTGGATCTCGAGTTGGTGCACCACTGTAATACCAGTGTACTCACATGGTAACTCCTCAGGAACTGTCCACTTAATATAAAGTGTAACATTCTGGACACCAACCACAATTTATATGTAAAGCCTAACTTACTGGCCGCTGCTGTGTAACATCAGAGTAATTACACGATAAATCTAATATGAAGTGTAACACTTTCTTTACCAAAAAGTGCTGTTAGTCCTGTTACACACTTGTACTTTCATTACCAATAAGTGTTGTTACCAATGTCCTGTTACACATTTGTACTTACACATACCATTCAGTGGGTTGTTACATGTGTGTAGTTACACAAACATTACAGCTGTAGATACTATGTACCAATGTGTACTTACACTGTGGTTACATACTATGTACACATCTAGTTACTATGTAAGTACACAGGTATTAGGGCCACTTAATATAAATTGAGATGATCTATTGAAACTGGTTAAAACCGAAGCTCTAAGTTGTGTAGTCCCAGTCCTAGGATGAGTCCCATTCAATTTGGTCAAACGCCTTTTCTGCGTCCAAGGCAAGAACTGCAATACTAGTTTGAGACTCAAACCCGGTATATAAGATATTCATTAGTCGCCTGACATTAAAAATGGAGAAATGGCCAGGAATGAATCCTGACTGGTCATGATGAACAATTTTCCCAATACAATTATTTAGTCTGTTAGCAAGGAACCTAGTGAAGATTTTAAGATTGGGGTTCAAATGAGATGAAAAGGCGAGGCGCCTTTCCAGCAGGGAAAGATTTAATAGCATCTAGTATTTCTGCTATTGTTGTCTGCATTCAAAGCTGCCTGCTCTGCGCACCCCAACTTTGGAAGGTGTAACGAATGAAGAAATTATAGCTAATGCTGAGGTGTCCGAGCAGCCCTTTGATTTGTATAATTCTTCATAAAATTCTTTAAATGTATCATTGATTTCAGTGGGATTTGTTAAAACGACACCCTCCTTGTTTTTGATTTATGGATTGTCAATCATTTATTTTAAGACCTTAAAGAAGGGACCCTATATCCCAAGCTTTCTGGATTTGTCTGCTTCTTTGACGGGTTTCTTTTTGTTAGTATAAATTAAGGATGGAATGTAAGTAGAAAAGAGCAGACTTTAAATATTTGACCAGACGTCATTCACAAAGAACCATTCTTATTTATTTAGTAAACAAATAAACAACTACAAAGATTTCAACTAGAGGAATTATACTTTTGAAATAACCAACGCATGTCTTATTACTTACGTATAAACACAATATCTATGGCATGTTTAGCTTTTAGCAACTAGTTTTTAACTTTGTAAAACATTTATAACAGAAAACATTATATTAGAGAAATATATCAAGAAAAACTGAAATTTGACTATACTACACATCATTACAAACATAATGACTTTGTCAACATTTCTCAAGCTATTAGATCTAACAGCCGATTTACATGTTAGACATTGTCCCACTAAAAATTATATCTTCAACTAAACATCATAAATGTCATTGTGAAGAAAGAGGTCATACTTGTCATAACCAGTATTTTCTACATTGCTGTTTTTGTTCTCCTTCACATTCGTTTTCCTGTTCATCGCTTGAGCTTCACTCTCTCTGCCTTCAAGATAGGACTGCAGGATCCGGAAAAACTGTGAAAATATTGGACAGATAAATGACGACATGAATTTAAAATGCAGTGTGTTATTTAAATATTTGCATTATAAGAACAAAAGAATAAATGAAGCTTACAAATACACAGTGTCTGACTAAATAATATACACGTTAGTCCATAAATATCAATTTTAGATTCTGCCTCTGAATTCTGGTTATAAAAAGTCTTAATCAAATGTAATCTTAGTCTTCATCCTTTTGTGCCAAATTGGGACTTTTATCACACAAAACGTTTTTGAGACTCCAACAACATTTTAAGGCAAGACACCTCAGGTGTATATGGCAAAAAAACTGAACAAAACGATATCTTTGTACTTCTTTAGTTGATTGATTACATAACGAATTTCAAACATTTTTTGTATTATACACATTAACTGAAGTGTTATGTTTTGGCATTATCTAATTAAATGTGCTCTAATTTGCTTACATTTCCAGAAGAGAGATCTGAACACAGGATAAAGCCAGGTTAAAAAAAAAAATATTTTTTTTTTTTTACATATTAGAGCTAAATGTTTTTATAAAGGCTATTTTGCATATCTCTTTGTATCACTCCATAAATCAGAAAATATTTTTTATCATATTTTTTTAAGAATAAACTGTTGCACAAACTGAAATGAACAAACCCTTCTATGAAAACCTTCAAAATATAGATAGGAATAAAACTGTAAAGTTTGATGTATGTAGTGGAGATTTATGGCTCAGTGTAGGAAAAAAAAATCATTTTGAGAAAACGGCCTTTAACGATACATATTTTCATTTAAATCTACAGATGCGAAAAGATAAAGTGCAATGAAATAAACACCTTAATAAATAGTATTCTGGATGTTTTCTTTCCAATAGTCTGAAACAACACATTAAGATCAAAAAAAGCTAAATAGCCCAAAATCTCAAAAATAGCCAGTGGAGGGGGAACAAATTCCTAATATAAATCAAATTCTTAATAAAAATCATCAAGAAGGATCAATTGCTGTCTGACTCACCAGGGTCCTGCTCTGTGGGTTACTCAGAGACTTCCACTCTTCATTTGAGAGGTCCGACTCAACCGAGACCATCAGCAGTGTCATCAGAGCCAATACTGTCAACCTGGATGCCAAACACAAACACAGAGACATTACAGAGTCTTCCTCAGACCACAACATCTTCACCTGACCGAAAGAACTCACATGTTTGCAGTGGCTGTGATTGCCAGGTCAGTTTGCAGTTGGGTTGCCTCGGTTTCCCAAAAGCTTTCTGCCCCTGCTTTTATACACAGCATAAGAGGCATGCCATACATGAACAATTTGCACCTTCTGGCAAATTGGCATTTCCTTTTTTCTCAAAGAAAATCTGGACAGACACTGAGTGCCATAATTGATATAATTACCCTTATTGCGTCATCATGGCTCCCTTAGAGACATATAACTCAGAATAGCCTCTTATAATGATGGTGGTATTTATGGCTTAACCTTTAAAGGGGCATGATGAAGGTAAAAGACTACCGGACATATAAGTGAAATACAGGAATCGAAATTGTAGGAAATATTTTAATGAATATGGTCAAGGACGAATGTTGACAACCAATTATTATTTTGCACTAACAACCAGTAGTTTGAAAGCTCAAAGGGAGACTTTTTTTTATTGCATATCCCACAGAACGATAAAAAAACCCCCCCAAAAAAACCAGCCATGAGCACTACTGCTTCTGAACTTAGTTCTGAGACATTTTATACTTTTTTTTTCAAATTCTGCTGCCGTTTCCTATTGCTAAATAAAAGATCTGTGTGCTCTGCTTGTCTGTGGGTCTTTATATTTACAGGATAATTTAGCACAGGGGTCTCCAACTTTTTTCCATTCGAGAGCTTTTTAAAAATGAAAGTGGCTGAGAGCTGCCCTTAAATCTCTTATATAATGTATCAATCCAAACTGTTATACATGGTAAAGCCTAATAGGCTACATGTTAAAATGTGCTGGAAATGTTCAAAAAGTACTGATACACACACTGAAATCATTTCAGAAACAAAAGTAGCAACACTATGCACTTTTTGGGTGCACAAACAGTGAAATAAAAACATTAAAAACAATGGCCGGATTTTAAACTAACAAAAAGTATTAACATAACATGTTATCTACTGACATGTACTAGGCCTACATCTTAAAATAAAGTTTTGACAAAAAAAAATAAAGATAAACCCACTGATCTAGGCTATATATAACTCTATTATAGATCAGTGGATACGACATTTTATTTCGACTTTTTTCTCGAAATTTAAGATTTTTCTCGCAATTTAACAACTTTAATCTCAAGATTGTTTTTTTTTATTATTATTTTTTATTATTATTGCTTGGCCCTAATCCTCTTCCATTCAATTCAGTCACTTTGCAGTCTTGCAAGTTTGGTCTACATGGTTGGTCTCTGACAGAAAGGGAGATTCAACCCGGTCATAAATAATAAATAATATTAATTAAAAAATATATATTTTTAACGAAATGTACTGGGTTAAATATGTTTAACACAATAATATTGCTTAATTATACTTTCTAAAGATTTTCCAAAAAATTGAGATTAACTGAATTGACAGCCCTATTTTTAGTCTACATAAGACTTGTTCTTAAAATAGAAGAATTTTAAAGAATTTTATTTAGATACATGTTATTTGGTTTTAACTATAGATGACAGAATAGTATTACAAAATTGCATTCCTTGAACTCTGGCCCAGAGAAACAACTGATTTTTTTATTCAGGGTTAATCAATATTACTTAAATCTTAACTGAAGAATTATAATTACTTTCAGAGTCTAAATGTAATTGGTTTATTCCAAACAGAGTATCATGCCCCATAAGTGTATTGAAACTATAACGCTTTAATTTCACACTTAAATGAAAATGTTTAGCAGCTAATCGTTGCAGGAGAACAGCTCTCACTGAAAGTACATTTAAACTGAGATCTGAGAACTCTGAACTCTTCTGCACTCTGTCCAGCTAAAAAACAAAAAGACAGCATGTGTTGAACCTTCATGAATCCTTAGAAATTACAGACAATTTTAGAACACATTCAAATGTCATTACAAATACTGGTAGGAGAAATTAAGAAACAATTGGTAAGATGTAACTAAAAAAAATACTATATGATTAGACTATATATAATTCTAATAAAAATATATAGGTAGCTTATCTTTTTTTAAAAGACAGAAAACCCCCTACAAAATATGGAACAAAGGTTCACTACTCAATGTGATGTTTATACACAAGGTTCCTCATTCTGTTTCTATTATTTTAAAATATATATTATTTTTATGAATATCACATTTACAAAGAACAATTATAGGCTTTTAAAGTTGAGCTAGAAGTCTGAATTAATATATGAACTAATATATATATATATATATATATATACCACTCACCGGTCTCGAGTCCCACAGAGGAGCTCCGGAAGGATAAAAGGAGTAGCTACGACTGTAGGCGCGTTTCCATTACCCTTCAAATTGCGCAAATTGAAATTGCGGGTTGAAAATACGCCTAATGGAAACTCGTCAATTTCGCAAAAACGCCCATATATCGCAAAAAAGTTTTTACGCTCGCATGAGTTTTTTTTTTGTTACATATATATACATATACATAATACAATATAATATTCATGTGATTGTGAATAATTATAATTGCTTTTTTTATTCACTACTGAAATTTTAAAGGGGTCATATGACGTTGCTAAAAAGAACGTTATTTGGTGTAAAGAAATGTGTTTATGCGGTTCAAGGTTAAAAAACACATTATTTTCCACATACTGTACATTTTTGTTTCTCCTCTATGCCCCGCCTTTCTGAAACACGTCGATTTTTACAAAGCTCATCGTGCTGTGTATGTGAGTATGTGTGCTGTGATTGGCCAGCTATCCAGTGCGTTGTGATTGGCCGAATACCTCAAGCGTGAGACGGAAATGTTACGCCCCACACATACTGTTGATGCCGTGTCCGGCCGGAGCGACGAGACAAAAACATTAAAACCCATTATAAACGAGGCATTTGTTGCATCCAGTGGGGACATAATTACGGATTATAATGACTTATACTGTCATTTTACGCGTTGCGTTGCATTGCGCCACGTAAACATAAAACCCTGTCTGCATTTGTGATCAGAGAAATGACAAACAACAACTGCTACTCCACACTGCCCAAAACTCGCGTTTGAATCATCAGTGGCAAATCCTTTAAATGAAAACGTACTTACAGACTGAGTCAGAAGAAAAATTTAAATCGCATCATATGACCCCTTTAAGATAGGTCTGTACGTAACAATTCCATACTATTTCCAGGATTTCCTCGACCTGTAAATGGTTTTCTTAAAGCTGCAGTCTAGGGTTGGGTATCGTTTGAATTTGATCAATTCCAATTCCGATTCTGAAGTCAAACATTTAGAAATCAAACTTATTTATTAGGTCTCTTTTTGCAAAACATTTAATTGCTGCTAAATACCATGAACAAAAATCTGCCTCGATTTAAAGCTGTGTGTGTGCAAAATAGAGCTGCACAATACTGGATAAATTGACTTTTTTTTTTTTCTCTTTTAAATGGCGGTTGTGGTTCTCTCACAATTCTGAAGAAAAAATATTAGACAAACAAAACCTCATGGAATTTATGAATGGAATGATTCAATGACTCAAGATTTTCTTGTTTCATTACTGGATGAATAAGTGTTTTTTAATTAATTTTTTTGAAAGAATGATTCAAAGACAAATACATTAACAGCCCCTTTTCACCAATAATAATAACTAAAAAAAAGATGCGCACAGGATTTGATTGGTGGAATTGAAACTTTAATTTAACAACTGAAATTGGAATTAATTTTCGATTCCCAACCCTACTGCAGTCCGTAACTTTTGGTGCTCTAGCGGTTAATAAACACAACTGCATGAGTCTTGTGGAATAACATTGTAGCCGGAGCTACTTCTCTCCGTTTATGTCTATGACGAATCACGCAAGTACTGGGCTACTCCGCAGCGGTACCTACCCGAACCAGTCTAAAATAGTCCGAATATAAACACTTATTATAGGTGTACCGTAGTGATGGATTCATGATGTACTCGCTTATTACATAAAAAAATAAAAGTTACGGACTGCAGCTTTAAACATTTGATAAGAAAAATAAGATTCGAAGTATTGAACTCATTTATTTATTTAGTCAACCATAAAACATACAGGAATCTCTTGTTGTGAGTAGGGGCAGCAGCAGCCATCGACCGCACCAATCACTCTCCTTTTTCCCCAAGAAAAGGACAGGAAAGAAACAGATCCCTGCTGACCCCCTCTCAGCCGGGAAGCTGCATTGAACAGATTTCCAGTTTCAATCATTCCAAAAATCAAAGCTTGAAAAGAGACAAACACAGGTTTCTGACAGGCCATCACAGAAGGATCGAGTGGTTTGTTTTGCTAAATCAAAGTGAGCATACCTGCCCAAAAAAAGTCATGTTAATAAGAGCCAGAAAAAATATAATATATATTTATATTCATATATCAACATACAAAGAGATCAAATGCTGTTCTACCATTGGTTTACACAGTGTTCCTCATTCTGGAGCAAAGCATGCTGGGAGCCGTTTGCCTCTTCATTTTCAGTGCTTTTCACAGACGTAGTGTTGAACTTCTTGTGCATCGTAGATTTGTTCTCTCAAGCTGTCCCTTCCCTCCATACAGTAATTTATGAAGGCACAAAATGATGATGAAATATGGAAAGTAAAAATAAATACCATCGATAAAAAGAATAATTTATCCTAAAACTGAAGATGGAGACAGTTAGCATTTTAACATCACTCATGCTTGTGGCCAAAAGCATTGCAATGCTGATGTTCATGTCCTCAATTTGCCCTTGCGGTTTTGAAACTACTGAAACTCCGATTTGTTTTATTTCCTCCCCCTCAGAGGGACAGAGAAATTGACAAGGTATTAAAATCGCATTTTAAAAAATAAATCATTTCTTTCTAAGTTGTAATTGATCGATTCAGAAGTGCACACTGACTTGAATCCGTTGAAAGCATCACAAATATCCCAGTCTTTCACGAGGGAGGATTTGAACGTCCAATCCCAGTTGCACTACGACAGTGTCAAACTGCTTGTGCAAAAGTTGGTCCCAGGCTGCTGATTCTTGTCTTTTATTGCCATGTCGAGAGGTCCGCCCACTTATCCGTCATATTTGTGTAGGGCAAGATGCGCTGGCAGAGGTTGAGCTGATGGATAA